GATTCTCCAAAAGTCCCTTCTTCCTCTCTTTCTCATCCTTTTATTAGGTTTTGGGAAAACCTCCTTTCACTTACACTTCAATTGGGCCTTATTTTGGCTGATTCGCACTTAAAAATATATCGCCCACGCACGGGGCGCCAGGCCTGGCGCCCCAAACTTGGGAGAAACAGAAGCTGAATCTGTCAACGGCGCCCCGGGCGCCAACTCTAGAGTGCCGTGCGCCAGTCCCGCGCTCTGTGTGCCAACTCCCGCGCGATGGGCGCCAAGTTGTAGCGTCGTGCGCCACCTCCCGAGCTCCGTGCGCGGCCGAAACAGAAGCAAATCGTCGCTAAGGCGCCCCGTGCGCCAGGTACCGCGCTCCGTGCGCCAGTTTGGCGCTCCGTGCGCCAACATCCGAGCGTCGTGCGCCAGCAGGAAATTTGGTTTCTCCGTTTTTGCTCCTTTCTGCGGTGTTTCCTGCTATTTAAACATATAACTTGAGTGAGAACATGATTGAGAAGGAGTAATCAATATTTCTTGCATTTAATGACTATTTTCACTCATTTATAATTAATTCCTTGCTTCCTTCAAGTTAGAAAACATCATATGCTAGACGCACATCAAACAATTCCCAGATTTAGATGTTGCTGTCCTCAGCAATAAACAGAATTTAAGCATGGGAAGCAAGGTTCAATCAATCAAGCACAACATTGCACAGACAATCATAAAGATCACTATACTAAGCATGAATGATTTCCAAGTCAAACTTAAGATGATGCTCATCAACTACATTCAAACATCAGAGTCTAACTTGATTACCCCTCACAAGGCATAGTATTCACTCATCACTCAGTGTTTAGGGTCATTCATCATCACTCATTCTTCACAGCTGTTGTACTACCATAGGCTTGATCTTTTTCTCAAGTTCCTAAAGATGAGGAACATCAACACATGCCTGATTAATCAAAAGGGCTTCTTAAGGTTATAACTTGGCTTGGCTTAAGGTTAGAATCTTTTGGACAGTAGCTGAATAATTATTGAGATTGAAACACCATTTTCATTAAGACTCAATTATCTTTCAATTCAAGTTTCAGCTCCATTTTTTTTGAATTCATGATTCCTTCCTTTTTCTCACTTTTTCCTTCATCATTGCTTGTCAATTTTTGCAATTTATTTTTCTTTCTCTTTAAATTCATGTGAGAACTATTCTTTTCTTTTCCTTTTCAACTGCTTAACTTCTAGTGGAGCTTACCTCAATTATTTCTAACTTTTTGATTATTGACATTTCAATCTCAAACAAGGTAAGTTCTGATGGAAGTGGTATAAACAGTTTAATAAGGTAATTAAAAAAAAATTGGCCTCAGGCTCAACATGGCTAACAATGGATGGTTTCTCAGGTAGCTATTTGGCCATAAGCTTAATAGAACAAAATGCCTCTATCACTTCAATCAACACATGCATTGGAGAAAATTAGATCAAGTTCTAGAGTACTACTGCAGTGAGGACTCTCAAAAAGAAATTTACTGTATAGGCACAAACCTCACAAGCTGTGGTATCAAACTAGACTCCTCTTAATTTCAGTCTAAGCATCATTATCATAGAAATCAAACAAACGAGCAATCATAATCCCTATTCATGCTCTATGCAATGTCATGACAATCCTACATATCATCCAATGCTTCCCCATATCCAACCAAGGAATTGACTGAGTAGCACATCTAAATCAGAATTTTACTTTCTCGTAGCAGGAATTGAAACTAAAAACACGAACTTTCTACCAAAATGAAAATAAAAATGAACATAACTAGAAAGGTTAAAATAACTCCCCTGAAGTGGCTATGAATCTGCTGAACCTTTTTCTGTGTGTGATACCTCAATTTCCGTGTATGCGGCCCCAATTCCCAGATTTAGAACATTGCTGTCCTCAGCAATAACTAAAGTAGTCAGAGAAAATACTGTTGCGCAAGTATAAACAACACACATGTGAAATGTCAAACAGAAATAACATGACCAATGTACTGGAGAATTACAACCCAAAATACCAAAGAGGTTCAAATGACCCGAACATAAACCTAGATGGTCAAACAAAAACAATGAAAAATGAAAATAAAAATAAAATAACAAAAACAGCAAAGCAGGAAAGTAGGTGGTGTCCTCCAGAGTCACTCCTCATCCATGCTGTCGTGTTGGTCCGCTGGTGGTGGAGGTGATGGAAAGTATGATGCTGGTGGATGATATGACGGTGGAACTGGTGGATACTGTGGCTGATAGGCAGTGTAGTCAATGGACATGCTCCGGCAAATGTCCTCAAACATGTGAGTATGATAATCTCCCTGCATAGTCCGTCTGTCGCTCTGAATGACCAAACGGTCCAGCTGAGACTGCATCTGTAGATAACTGGGAGAATCCTCGTAGACGAGGTCATGCCGTGGAACTCTGAATGTGGAAGAAGATGATGCCCGTGCACGGATGGATGTCTCTGGACGTGGCTCCTCAGATGAAACACGTGGTGCCCTGCGGGGGCTTCGAGCAGCTAATTCTTCAGAAGTTAACTTAGAAGCTCGGACAATCTGCTCAATCTCAGCTTCCTTGACCAGATCTGTGTAGTTCTTAAGTGTCATGGTCTTTTCCACTAGAACATCTAGGGGTTTCTCAGGCAGAATGACAACTCCAGTCTTAACACACAGATAATCAGTGATGAGTGTGCAATCCGATTCTTGCTGTTGCCATCTTGAATGACTTAGAGGATCCGATCAGATAGCATTCTGCCAATGTCAAGGGGGTCCTCCCTCATCAGCACATAAAGCAAAATAGCTCTTTCCACATTTACATCACTCACGTTTGCAAAAGGGATCACTGTAGCATTATTAAAATTGTGCCAAAAAGCTGCCTCACCTATCAGCTCGTTTCTTTTTAGTTTCTCGGGAACATGAGCTAGGCAACCTTTCGGCTTCCATGTAGCATACAGACATGTAATCCCACGCCTTATAGTGTCAGCCAACTCAGGCATTTCCGCCAGATAAACATTTTTAACGTCAGTGGGCTGCATCCTGTCAAAGAGATCTATAAACCTACAGTCAACGGTAGGTTGAAAAGATGTTTCCAGGAACTCTTCGATTTCTTCAGGCTCAAAAGATACTTCCTTTCCCCTCACCCAGCTGATCCTATTCTTGTCCACGTCTGCTCGATTAATATTGGCTAAGAATTCTTTCAGAATGGTACTCGAACTAGGCTCAGCAAAAGTAACAAGTTTTTCCCAATGACGCCTTCTTATCACCTGTATTATAGGAGAATCCTCAGGAAAGCTGTCTAGATCAATTGTCCTTTCTGGAATGATCTTCTTAGGCCCGTACCAGTTCTCAAATCGCTGCTGACATTCCAGTGAAAGAAACCTAGTAGCATCAAAGCCATCTTGCCTTGACCGCTTGCTACCAGATGTAGCTGTGTTCTTCCGTTGGCCACCCTGAGTGTTCTTTGTGGCAACCTTCTTTCCCTGAAACTCAGAAAAGTACACCCAATATATTTCACAACAAAGGTTAGGACAGTTCATAATGGCAACAACCTCAGAAACTTCCTTAAGCACAATTCTCAGATTTAAGTTCACAGCAAGATGCAGTTCAATAATAGGGAATCATGTAAGACTATTTCAGTGTATTTAATCAATAATAGAAACAGAACAGAGCTCATCCAAATTACTTCAAATAGATCTACATGCAACGAATTCAACAGTATCAGATAAGAAAAACCGGATAATGCAACTCAACAGGTCTAGAGAACACCATTGAAAACACCTGGTGGGCGCGAGGTGCGCCACGTGTTGCGCACGAGGCGCCGAAGACATCGCCCAGACGCCCAGCGGGCGCGTAGTGCGCCGGTATTGGTGTTGTAAGCGCCGGCTGCATCGGCCAGACGCCCAGCGGGCGCGTAGTGCGCAGGTGCTGGCGCCGGAAGCGCTGGATGGAATCTCAGAAGACCAAGGCCACGTGGGACGTGCCAGACGCGGCGCGATATGCGCCGGCTGCGCGATTGTCGAATTCCAAGCGCGCGGTGGCGCCGTTCTTGGCGCGAGGTGCGCCGGCGGTGCGATCTACAACGTCTTACTGTAGATCTGCGCGACCTACTCCAAGAGCCGCGCGATCTGCGTGAGTTTGAACATCATCACTCACTCAAGATGAACATGTAGAAAGATGAAAATAGGAACTCTTACCTTGTCTCCAGCCATGAATGCAAGAAGGAGAGATGCTTGAAAAGAAGTAGTATGCAAAACAAAATTGAAAAGAATCTATATGGAGAGTTGAGAAGGGGAAAGAGTTTGGAAGAGGGAAAGGTGTGAGTAATGGGGGAGTGTGGAAGGTGAAGGGTTTTATTTTTTTGGATTTTTAAAATTTTCTATTTTTTTTATTTCAAAAATTCAACGCCTCAATGCCCTCAGCGCCAGGTATGGCGCACGGGGCGCCGTCGAAACAAAACCGACGGGTTGTTAAAGCGCCTTGGGCGCCGGATATAGCGCACTAGGCGCCAAACGGGCGCTACCGGCGCCGTACTGGGTGCTTGGAGCACCGGCGATTTGGCCCAACAGGGCCAACGGAGCGCTTGGGACTCCGTAAATCGCGTTTGAGGCGCCGAAGGGGCGCTACCGGCGCCGTACTAGGCGCGCGGAGCGCCGTCGATTTGGCTCGACAGGGCCGACGGGGCGCTTGGGGCGCCTGACCTAGCGCTTGAGGCGCCAACTGGGCGCTACCGACGCCGTACTCGGCGCTCGGAGCGCCGGCGATTTGGTACACCTCCGCGCGCCAGGCGCGGAGTGTGGAGCATCGTGCGCCTGGTGGCGCTTACTTTGGCGCGTTGTGCGCTAAGTTACTGATTTTTCACCAATTTTTGCATAAACTCCTATGCCTAAATGGATCAAAACTGAACTAAATTAAAAAAACTTAACAAAATGAAATAATAAAATGACTCAAAACTATTGGGTTACCTCCCAACCAGCGCTTGTTTAACGTCACGAGCCTGACACGGACTCTTTAAGTCTCTGGAGAAAGTAAAGCAACAGAAATTGTGTCCCTATATATGTCTCCGCCATGATAGATCTTCAATCGACACCCATTGACCTTAAAAGGTCTTTCAATGTTGAGAGGGGAAATCTCAACTGTACCATAGGGAAATACCTTCTTAACAACAATAGGACCGGACCAACGAGACTTAAGTTTACCTGGAAACAACCGCAGTCGAGAGTTGTATAACAATACCTGCTGTCCCTGCTCAAATTCTTTTGGCTGAATTTTCTTGTCATGCCATTTCTTTGTCTTCTCTTTGTAGATCCTGGCATTCTCATTAGCTGCTAACCTGAACTCATCTAACTCATTTAATTGTAGCAGTCTCTTATCATTAGCTTTTGATGGTTCAAAATTTAAAAATTTAATAGCCCACAAAGCTCTATGCTCTAATTCTACAGGCAGATGACAAGACTTACTATACACCAGTTGGAATGGTGACATACCTATTGGTGTTTTGAATGTTGTCCTGTATGCCCAGAGTGCATCATCCAGTTTCTTAGCCTAGTCCTTCCTTGAGTTGCCCACTGTTTTCTCTAGAATCCTCTTCAGCTCTCTATTGGAGATTTCAACTTGTCCGCTGGTATAACAACCCTAAATATTGTATCATGATTAATGAAGAATTATGATAATTAATAAACGAGACATTTCAGATGAAATAGTTTATGATTAAGTAAATTAGAAGTATGGGTCCAATGGACCAAAGACATAAGCATTAGGGATCCAATGAATTCATGGATCAAAGTATAACCCAACAAAGGAAGTTTTAATTCCATTTAATGTGGACAAGTCCAAGTGATACAAAGAAAGCTCTATATGATAAAGTAAAGTCCAATAAGGTAAATGAAACCCAAATCAAGTTAAAGCCCAAAGTAAGGCCATGACATAATAAACCTAAAGAAGTACTATATGACTAGGAATTAATATATAAGATGATGTTTTGAATGATGCTCTAGGATTTAAATATGATAAATTATCAATAATGTTAGAAGCATGTTTTAGAAGTAATCCCTTAGGTATTTTAGGGCAATAAGGCCGAATGGTATGTAGCTAAAAGAGGTTTTATTTGATTAATGTTGAAAGGATCTAACCATGTTAAGTTAATAATATAATTGAAAGCATGTTTTAAAAATTATATTCCTAGATGTTTATCTATGGTGGCCGAACCTATACATGCCTAGAATGAAATCTTTAATAATTCTATTAAGTGTTATGATGACCTAATAATGTCCTAAAACCTACACAAGTGGGTAAGTAAGCAAAACAACTCCTCTAGGTAATTAAACCTGCAAAGCCGAGACCTATACATGGATAAAACACAAATGTTGAATGTTATATAAGTTACTAAAAGATGATATGATGATGTTAGGGAGTCAAGGGAGCAAACAGGCAAGTAAAGAGATCAAAAGTTGAAAGTATACAAGTAAAGAACGACAAGTACTGTAAGTGTTTACAGTTGTTGAAGTAATCTCTCTATGTATGCCACCATTATGAAACTATGATAAGTTATGGTCTGACTGCAATATGTTTATAGTGCTTTACATTATGTGATTATGATATTTTTGAAACTTAAAACCATGCTATTAAATGTTGGCCTGTGCACTGATACTCCAGTTGCAACCTGACGAGGACTCTGGGTATCTCCGTAAGTCCGTAAAAGCCGGCAGGAATATGATGATGATGATGATGGCATGATATTTTTATATGATGATGTTAAATGTTCCATTTTGTATTGTTATTATAAACTGTTGCAGGAGTAAGCGTCATAGTTGGAGAATGCTCCAGCTGTGAACCTTACTGAGATTTTCCCCAAAATCTCACCCCCCTTGACCACCCATTTCAGGAAAAGATGAAAGAAAGTAATAAGAAAGTTATGTGGGAAAGAAAGGGTAAGAGACTGGTACGTAAAGAAGAAGAAACTCCACCTACCTGGGAAGAGAAACTAAAGGATCTAACAGATAGAGGCCTATGGACTGAGGCTATGAAATTATTAATAGAAGCTTTTCCACATTATGATTTCGATGAAGCACTAAGTACACAATGGCTAGAGGAACCACAACCACATTATGACTGGGCTTATGATGCGGCATAAATTATGTTTTTATTTATGATTAGTTAATCTTTTTGGGATTACATTAAATAATGTTTAGTGTTATTTATTTTGTATTGACGTTTTAACGCTTTTAATTTTATATGGAATAAGTATGGTTATGTGTTTCCATTCCGCACTCTGATATTTGCATTCGTAAAGTTTAAATTTAGACTTCCGCGCGTTGAATGCATGATGAAGGTGCACCCTATATGTATTTACATTTGGGGTGTTACATTTATGGTATCAGAGCAAAATTTCGGATTAGGATGGAACACTAACCATTTGCTGTATCTATGTACAGCAAGATGCCTCCACGAAGAACCCCTACGCAAGATATACAAGGACAAATTAACACGTTGCGGGACACCATCACCCAATTACAAACCAACACGGGAGATATGTTTCAGAATATAATGAATGAGATCAGAAGGAACCCAAATGCTAATGCAAACAATAACGGAGCAAGCGGCTCGGGAACAGGAGCCGGGGGTCATGGTGAAGGACCCCGACCTCCTCCAGGAAACGGTGCGGCAGGTCAAGATAACCAAGGACTACTGTTGACGTTTAGAAAGCACAAACCACCCTCCTTTCAAGGAAGTCCTGACTCAATGGCAGCTGTACAATGGCTGCAAGCAATGGACAAGATTTTTCGAGTTATCCAATGCACCGACGATCAGAAGGTGCTATTCTCGACGTACATGCTGGAAGGAGATGCTCACCACTGGTGGGCGAATGCGTCCCAACCGTTGGAAATGCAGAATGCGGTTATAACTTGGGCCGTGTTCGAGGAAATGTTCTTGGAGAAATACTTTCCGATGTCAATCCGGGATAGTAAACAAGGAGAATTTGACAAACTGGTTCAAGGAACGATGACGGTGGACCAGTATCATGCTAAGTTTAATGAGTTACTAAGATTGGCAACGTACAGAGGAGCAATGCCTTTACCAGACTTTCTGATGGCGAAGTTTCAAAGGGGTCTGAATCCCAGAATTGCTGAGCTAGTAGCCGGCAACGACCCATGTGACTTTGCAACCCTAATCAATCGATGCAGAAGAGTGGAAGCTATTGGCCAACAGAAGAAACCCGTGGAAGCTAGCGGGAATGGTTATAAAGGAAAGACTGGACCATGGCGAGGAAACAACGGAGGAAAGCCCTGGCAGCCCAGGCGAGATGACAACAAGTTCAAGAGACCCGGAAACTACCGGGGAAATAACAGCCACAACAACAAACCTCCGAACTGTCCAAAATGCAAGAAGCCCCATTACGGTAACTGTCTAAGTGGAACCCCAAACTGCTACAAGTGTGGAAAAGAAGGACACTATGTCAAGAACTGTCCACTATGGGGAAACCAACAAGCAACAGAAGAAGCACCAAGGATGGGCAGAGTTTACACCCTCGATCAACACACGGCAGACCAGGCAGCTGAACTGGTCAAAGGTACGATCTATATTTGCCATGAAAATTTAGATGTACTATTTGATTCTGGTGCTACGAATTCTTTTGTCGCCGATTATGTGGCGAAAGCGTACGATTTATTTACTGATAGACTGCAAGTACCTATGCGGATCATGACCGCGACGGGAAAAGTTGCTAAGGCGTACCTACTATGTAGAGACGTCGCATTTATCTATGAAGGAAAGAAGTACAAACAGGACTTCATAGTCCTCCCACTAGAGAAGATCAATGTGATTCTAGGGATGGACTGGCTCGCCAAGCAGCGAGTGGTGATTGACTGCAGCAATCGCAGTTTGATTATCGGCAAAGAAGGAGCGGAAGAAAACTCAGCGCCTGAAACAGGAGAATGCTCCATGATGATGATGGGAACTCTTGTAGGAGAAGAAGAGATACCACTGTCCAACATTCTAGTGGTTAAGGAGTTTGAGGATGTTTTTCCCGATGATATCACCAATTTCCCTCCAGAACGAGAGGTACAATTTTCAATTGAGCTAGTACCGGGAACTGGGCCAATTTCGATTGCGCCCTACCGTATGTCACCACTTGAACTTGTGGAATTAAAGAAGCAATTGGAAGACTTAATAAAGAAAATTTTTATCAGACCCAGTGTGTCTCCATGGGGAGCGCCAATATTATTTGTGAAGAAGAAGGACGGGTCAATGAGACTATGCACGGATTACCGACAGCTCAACAAGGTTACTGTGAAGAACAAGTACCCACTGCCTCGTATTGAGGACTTAATTGATCAGCTGAGAGGTGCAAGAGTATTTTCAAAGATCGATCTCCGATCAGGATATCATCAGATCCGGATCAAGCCGGAAGACGTTCCGAAGACAGCATTCAGATCAAGATATGGGCACTACGAGTACCTGGTCATTCCTTTCGGACTGACAAATGCCCCAGCAGTGTTCATGGGGTATATGAATCAAATATTCAAACCTTATCTGGATCAATTTGTTGTCGTGTTTATCGATGACATATTGATATACTCAAAGAGCAAGGAGGAGCATGAGGAGCATCTGAGAATCGTGCTGCAAATATTACGGGAGAAACAGCTATACGCCAAACCATCCAAATGTGAATTTTGGCTGCCCGAGATTCAATTCCTTGGGCATGTGATATCAGATAAAGGAGTAGCGGTGGACCCCAGTAAAATCAAAGCAGTAGTTGACTGGGAGCGACCCAAGACGGTCACAGAGATAAGAAGCTTTCTTGGATTGGCAGGGTATTATAGAAGATTTATTGAAGGATTCTCGAAGCGGGTGTTACCACTCACCCGATTGACAAGGAAGGAAGTCCCTTTTGTGTGGACTGATGAATGCGAAGTTTGCTTTCAGGAGTTAAAGAAGATGCTGACGACAGCCCCAGTGCTGACATTACCAAACCCTGAAGAACCATTTGAAGTTTATTGTGATGCCTCAAAGATGGGTTTGCGATGTGTGCTTATGCAAAATGGCAGACCAGTCGCGTACGCATCTCGACAGTTGAAGTCACATGAAGAGAATTATCCCACTCATGATCTTGAGTTGGCAGCAATCGTATTTGCTTTGAAGATATGGCGTCATCACTTATACGGTGCTACTACGACAGTATATAGTGACCACAAAAGCCTCAAGTACTTATTTGATCAGAAGGAGCTGAACATGAGACAGCGCCGATGGATGGAATTCCTGAAAGATTATGACTTTGAACTAAAGTATCATCCCGGCAAGGCGAATGTAGTTGCTGATGCCTTGAGCAGAAAAGTCAGAGGAATTGCAAGTATGATAATAGCCGAACAACAATTGATTGAAGATTTCCGAGATTTAAATCTCGCAGTGGTAAACAGTGAATGCGGACAGGAATATTACGCAGTACAAATCCAAGATGAACTCTTAGAGAGGATCAAGGAAGCCCA